CATTTCAAACTCTTATCAAAATCTGCTTGTGCAATGGCTGAGTCGCCTGCCGAGGAAAACAAAACAGTCTTCTTGCTTATTGGAGAAGCGCTGCAGCGACTACAGTAACATCCTTTCGATGCAGAAAGATTTCACGTCGCACATATTAAATCCTGGATGCATTTGCTGTGCTTTCTCAATTTTTAAGTCTCTGAATTAAAAAATAAAATAAAAAGCCAATGATAGCAGAAATAATAGAGCTAAAAGTCTAATGTTCAGACAAATAAAACATTTCTTTTTCTTTCTTTTCTGTTTTCTCTCTTTTACAGTCCATCAAAATCCTGAGCAGTATTGACAAACCACACGAGCACCGGGTCTGACTGCATGATCAGCTGTCTGTGTCTACGCTACACCCTGTTAACCACAAGCAGTGTTAGAGCTAAATATATCTGCAATGCAGAAACGGTAGGTGCTATGTGGCATACAATTCTGATCAGTTTTAAGATATTTTGCTATCCTCAGATATAATAAATAAAAGAAAATTTGGTGCTGATCTCTGTCAAGCACGGTATCTGTCAGACTTACAGAACATAAAAGCTATCCTAAGTACACTGACCTAGATAGCACTAAGAAGACTTAAGCAGCGTACGAGCATACTCACTGTCAAAGCAAGGAAAGCGAAACAATGATTGTCTAATCAAACTGAAAGCAACAACTCACTACCACAGTCTGAATTCCAAAATGCTACGTACTGTATATGCACATCTCATGTTATTGGAAGACGCAAAGCTCCTTTGTTTTTTTTTTCTCGGAGGCTTTTCTTAGCTACGGTTGCACAATGACATTCTGACATCATGGAGGTCAATGCAGATACTAAAGTGCTGTCGTCTTTAAGGAAAAAATAATTTTGAAACATAAAACCAGCAGAAATAATAATTAAAAATATCACATCACCTACTTAATGGCTTTCTGTTACCTTCTGAGATTAATAGCATGCATGTTGTTCAGCTGCTGCACACGTTAAATTGGTATCACCCTCTGCAGAGACTGCAGGAGTAATTGTGGGAATTAGATTTTTATAAGTGGCAAAAAAGGCTTATTTTCTGGAAAACTTAAAAACACAATAAAATATTTTGGATGTATAATGAAAAATATGCAAAGAGAAAAAACATTAAAAACTACTAATCTGATTTTTTTAAAACGCCTAATAAGCAAAAATGGTTCTGTTTTCATTGTCACTGTGTCTCCAAAGGGAGAATGAGAGAACCATGCTGCAGTTTACTATAACCTGAATTACCTTCCCAGAAGGCTAAACCAGCAGGTGAGCTAAAACAAACCATAAGATCTACCTGTTTAAAGAGTAGAATCTCCCCCACTATGTCAGTGACTTCTCTCAGCTCCCTCTCCCTCTACCTGCGAATACCGCAAGCTGATACCCAGCACAAGAACAGATTTGTGAAGATTAACGTGTTAGCTCTGAAAATATTTCACTTGAAGAATTCTTTAGGTAAATAATATTTATCATATGTATAAGAGACTATAAATGGTTTCTGGCCAACTGCAGAAATAAACAGCTCCTTGTGAGGCCAGATTTGCCCAGAGAAGCGCTGTCTTTCATTCGACTTGCCAATATGGCTGAGAAAGAAAGCAGCCAAATTTTCATACATGTATTCTTTCCCTAGGAACCTGTATGCCTTATGATTTATTTTTTTTCTCTAAAAGAGCACCACTTTTAAAAGTGAAGACTAATACCAAATATTGTGTTAAATCAGAAAATGTTGCACAGCAAAAACTAGGCTGCTGTACGTACATTTTCATTTCTTGTAAAAATGAGACAATCTGATTTTGCTTCCCCCCCCCTCTTTCTTTTTTAATGATTAAATAGGTATCTGTTCAATTTGGAGGTTTTACTTTGGGAAGTTATTTGGCATTTTGTTCTCTTTCATTTTAAAGGCTGGGAATGAGATGATCCTAACAGTCAGTGCTTTAAAATATTCAGAATCCCCTTCCATAAATAGCACATCTGTCACAGAAAGGGAACCCAGCCAACAGAAAGGCAGATCAGACCAGCAAAAACAACTGCTATTGCAGTGCATGATTACAAAATAAGTTAGGATTTTAGCAAGCCTTTATTTGTATTTTTGTTTGGTTTGAGCTTTTTTAATTAAGAGCTGTCTGATGCCACCATATATCAACTTTAAATTAAGAATATTAAATATGGCTTAATTTTGAGGTTTATTTAATGTTCATCTCTTAGTCAAATGTATATTGTCACGTTAGTCATGCCCTGTTTAAAACCACGGTGAAAGCTCCTATAGATTTCAAGAAGGAAAGATTTGGGCTGTATTATCAGTTTGTTAAAGCACGATATTATTATTTCAGAAGCCAGTGATAGTTTTGTATAAAGAGAGTAATTTTCAGCAGCAGACTGATTTCTGCGGAGTCTCGCAACAAATATGTCTGCTCCTGCATTCCTGAGGTCAGCATTCTTAGCCACCCAGAGGAGTACTGCTCTGGGACAGACACAGCAAGGTGTTTTGGGTTGTGTGATTTAGGAAACATTAAAAGCCTGCCGGCAGTGAACACAGCAGAGGAATAAACATCTCACATTGAACAGGGGAGTGAGTCTGTCGAAATCTTTATGCATACTTCTTGCTTTAATGGGCAATTTTCAGTGCTTAATAATAATTTTGCAGGCTTAAATTTGCAATGATTTTGCTTCAGACTCAACATCATTTCAGTTCAGAAAGCAGATTCTACATCCTTCTACAACTTCACAATACATGCCATGGTAAATAAACAAATTCAAAAAGTTGCATTTGTAAGTTGCACAAAGTAGGCCCAATTTTTCAAGGTAGAGATATATTCATATTTTATGTAATTTCTCACTCAGCAACTCAGATTTAAGCTCTAACATGATTTGTGCCAAAACTGTTACAGTCCCAAGGCATTGGCTCGCTTGAGTCCTGACTTCAAAATTCCCTGCCTCTGCTGGGCCAGGAGTGTCTCTGTCCACGCTATGAGCTTGTGTCAGTTCTTTATTCAATCAGCCTAAAGTCAGGCTATTTCAAGCATCCTCACTGGATCTCACAGGCCATTTGTGCTGCAGCCTTTCCCACTTTCAAGCATCCTACTTGTAAACATGCTTCCTCTTCCTTTATTTATCATCACTTATCTCTCCTCACATACTATAGCTTATCAAAATTGGTGAGGAGTGAAGACTTCCAGCATCACTTTATATTGCATCATCCTCCTTGTGGTACATGGTTTTTTAGAGGAAAAGTCCTAGTCCTCTACATCAATCATTTGGCAAAAGGAGGTAGGGTGTGGAAAGAAAGACACATAAAGTCCCTAAACCTGTACTGATTTTTGTCTCAAAAGTATTGCCACACCTTGTCTTCCTAAGAAGGAAATACAAAGGGCAGTCGGGTAGGCTGGGAACTCTGCCAAGCACCAACCTTGCAGCAGTAAATATCTGGATGAAGATTAGGAGACTTTGAGAAAAGAAGTGACAAATACAGTTTTATACAGACCAGTTCACTTCTGTCTTTATTCAACACACGTCCAAGCTGGACCAAGGGAATAAACCGTCCCTCTAGCTATAGGAGACATGCTGGATGTGAGAGATGTGCTTAATAGTAATGAACATGCTTAATAAACGAATGAGCAAACATACATACACTTGGGTTCGTTGACACCTTAGTACTTACGGTTTTGGTTTTGTTTGTTTCTGAAATAGTTTGTCAAGTAAATGAGCAGCATATGGAAGTCAAAGGATAGAATCAACCCCGGCCCTCAAGAAACTGTAGTGAACTACTTGGTGATACAATCCTTGCAAAGCAATGACGAGGGGTCATGAAGCACAGCTGGGAATCCAGGGTGGGTGTTTCTAAAAGGCATACCAGAACCAGCTACAGCCTTTCAACAAACCTGCTCTTGGAATGACTCTTTCAGCCTCTGAATTTAGCTGTAATCAATTATATTTGTCTCTTCATTCCACTATTGCCATTGCAAAAAACACATTGCTGGTGAATACTCAGTTTGAAATTAAGAGTTATTTTGGAAAATTAAAACCCCACACCCTTTATTATGAACTAAAATTCTCTGACCTAACACTTGCATTCAGGAAGGCATCCATATAATCCAGGCATTCAGCCTAGTCATTAACTTGCTGGGCAAATGCCTTCTGTCCAAAATCCTACTGCTACATCCTACATGATTTAGAAGCTACCTTCTTCAATACTAAAGCTCCACTTTGGGCTGTAGAAAGTAAGGGAATGGAAAGGAAAAAAGGACTCATGATAGAACCTCCACAGTTTGCCTTTCTAGAGCCAAAGTAAAGCACATTTGTACCTGACCCAGCCAACATGCCCTGGACTCCCATTTGTGTGCACAGGGAGCTTAAGTTGCCCCAAGGATACAGACTGACTCAGTTGAGTGCTGACAGTTTTCCCAGACTTCCCCACAATTCCTTCTGTGTCTCTGTATGGCTGAACAAAGTCTTCCATTATTTGCCGGGACAGAAAACAATTGCTCTTAGTTATTCCTGTAATGATTTACACACCTTCATTTTTAATTGTCACACTCCCATAAACATGCCACCAAAAATAATCTGTAAGTGGTCTAAGATGCTGTTGCTGTTAGATGGGGTTGAATGAAAAGCAGAGCAGCATTTAAATCAATTCCTTTTATAAAAGGCAAATACAGAGACTCTACAAAAATAGCAAGTATCTGAATATTCTGAAATGTATTCTGAGATACTCCCTTCTATCCATGTGTTATGAACATGCATTATGGGCATGCCTAAACAGCAAGATCACAGACAAGCCATGTACTAAGATATATTGAGGTACTGTATGTTTTTTTTGTGAAATGCTTCTAACAGCCACTTATAGTCTAGTACTCTATACTATAAAATCTTGAAGGATTAGAACACCTGGGATTTACTGTAAACAAATGGCAAAGAGAATTTCTTTAAAAACTGTAACACTATCCATAGAATCTGAAGGAAGTGATTATAGATATTTTTGCCACCTTTACAGGTTGTATTTTTGTATTTTCTGTGTAACATGACACTCAAGGTAGTTAGCAATAATAAGTGGCTTTGCCTTGCTTTTTCTCAGAATAGTGTTTTAATTACTGATAAGTGTGGTTCTCTCCATCTAATTCTACTTCCTTAGGCCTTATTTGCTTTCTAAACTGCTGCCAGGCACTATGACAAAGGTTTCAAATTTCTGTCTCTTATCACTCCAGGCTAATTCACATGATTAGTGAATTTAGGTATTGTATTTTTATCAATTTTACTTTGTTCTTATCAATTCTATTTTTCTCTCCACTAAATGGCACAACTTGCTTGATGCCCATACCTGCACTTTTCCTGTGCTTCCCTTGTGTTGATCAGCACATCCATGTTCACATCACCTATTTCTTCTCTTCCAGTTTTATGGGGCAAACTTTTCTTTTAGAGAGTAAGAGACTCAAAGATGTGATATGGAAAGAGGCTTCACTCAGTCACATAAAATCCTGTAGAGAGATTACAGACATTTAAGCTGAATCATTCTCAGCAGTACTAGGCAGTAGACAAGAAGAGCAATAAGAATTAGGTTGGAAAAAAGTAGGTTGGAAAAAAAGTAGTTTCTTGAAGTTGTCAACATAAAATCTATTCAGCCATTTTACATTTTCAAATCAGCAAAAATTTTCCTTTTATAAACACATGATTAAAGTTAATTCTGAAACATATGACTTTTAGAAGAATCAGGTCTGTGAACATGATCTCTCTCTCAATTATTGCTTTTTTTTTCCCTGTAAAGCTTTAGTAGGGACTGTCCAGCTATTCTGAAGTACAGACAGGATGAGAATAACACACATTTCTCATTATCAAAAATAGTAAGAAATCATTTTTGAATGGTGCAAGTACTGGAACAAGCAGGGGTAGGAAGCTGGAGTATGTCAGCAGAAGAGAAAATGTTTTGAAAGTCCCAAGAAAACTGTTTAGCATTTGATAAAATAAAATGTCACATAACAGGACAGAGAAATCTCACTTCCTAAAACCCATGTGTACAGATGACTGTCTCACAGCTCCAAACAGTCTAACAAATGTAGAACCAATGCAACCAAAAATCCATTTCAGACTTACATGCTCAAGCTCAGCTGTTCATTATGCTGCTAAATGTGGGCTGTTCTTTGAGGGCTGTAGATCTGCTCAAACCATTTCTCCCAACCAGTCAGAGGTGAAGCTTGTTCCTTCATTTTTTCATCTACTCCTGACAAATGGGAGAGGAGTTCTAAGTGAGTCTTCCCACTGTTAACGTGGTATGTGTAACCAAAACCCCAGAGCACTAACTCTGAACCCCAGATTACTGATCTTTTCCTCAGTAGGAGGATTGAGATTTGTCTACTGCCACTCCCTTACACAGTTGTGACTGTTTATCTTCCTGACCACACAGGCACCTCATTTTAGGAAAGTTGCACAAATCACAGCTCTCTGCAGTCTGAACTAGTTCAGCTGGAACTGAGGTCAGTGTAAGTGAGGTCCTGTTTAAAAAGCTTTCAGTCCTAGATCACTTACAAAATTACATAATTTCTCTTTGCACAAATTCCACAGCTCTTCCATGTTTCAAAACTGAAACTGTTCTGATGGTTTGAATGAATCAGGCAGATAAATGCACACACTAACAGAAAGTTGTATCCCATTAACTCCTTGGGATTTCAATGAAATTTGGGAGCTGGTGAGCAATGGTAGTGCTTTGTTAGAGTGCAGTAGTACAAAAGGCTCTATTAACAATAATAATACACTTTTACAGCATGTTTTATCCAACAGTCTCAGAGATCATTACAAACATTAATTGAGCCTAACTATAGCCTGTAATGAATTAGCATTATTATGCTAATTTTATGGATGGAAAGAGAAAAAGGCAGAGAGGTTAAATGATTCACTCAGGAACCCATAACCACGTGCTCAAGTGGGTTATCCCAACCAAGAATTGTTGACAGACAAATGCAAGTGAGATGTCAGATACAAACATTATAAAAAGCTTCCAAAACCATGACATAATTGCTCTGAGGAAGTGCTCACCAGCAAGGAAATAGTGTTGCTGTGGGCTTACAGCAGGTAAATTTCTTTCATTTGTTCTTTTATTTTGAAATTCTCTCTGGACCTTTGCAAGATCATTCATAAGCACCAAGAATTCCTTCCCGGTTATGTTGGTTTACCCAGATACATACTTAAAAGTGGGAGGATATTTTAAATAATGGCATGAGGCCTGAATCACTCATCTGTGTTACTCACATCAGTTATAACTTCCAAAAAGAGGACAACATGACTGCATCCGCTTTTCTTTAAAACATCAAACTGGATATAGAAAAGAGGACAAAACAGTTAAAATAATAAATTGTCTCTCCAAGTACCATTCCAATCTCCTTCAATATTTTCAGCTCTTAAAAAAAAGCACCAAACAACAAACATTTAAAAGCTGGTTTGGACCCCTTTCCTTATTGAATATCCTGGAAAACACTTAATCTGGCACTCATTAAGCTTAGTCTGATTTAATATAGCTCACAACAAGAGGTACAACAGGTGCATCTTTACCAAACATCAGGGACTCTATTCCAGACAAAAATAATCCTTAGCCTTTCTTCCACCCTTTGTACCATTCATCACTTGCTCCTTACTTACACTGGCAGTTTGTTGCATGTGCCTGCTTGGTTTTACTACCCTTTAGACTGCTTTTTCAATCATTCCTAATACGTCCATGATATTTGATAAATTTTGAAACTTTGTAAGTTTCTAGAATACCACAATCTTTATGCAAATGTATCTTGTTAGTCCCAAAACAAATACTTTTAATTAAATCCCATTATTAATGGCAGAAGAAAGCAAATGTTCTCTTATAAATATCCAACAATAAGTAACAAGTAATTAGTAAAATGTATTTTTCCTCTACAACATGCTGAATAAATTCTTGATTATTACCATTTTCTCCTTTATTAATCTTCTTAAAGGTTTCTTACCTGCTGATGTTGAAGATGCCTTTTATTTGCTGGGCAGTTCTGGCTTTATCAGTTTCTATGAAAACTTTCCCTTCTTCCTCATTAAATAAAAGTTAAATTAGCATAACATAGGAGCTGGACACTACAGACATAAGCAAATCCAGACTAATTAACTGCAGTGCAAGCTTATTCTCCATTTCCAGCTAACCACCATTTTCCCTGTTAGCAGTATGGTCAAAAGTGAGAGCTTTCTCTTGGAGATTTCACTTAATGCCTTAAGAATTTCCTCAGTTAACATCTTCTGAACACTGCTGGTTCAGATATAGCAGTCATGATATTACTTCCATGTTGTTTTTGACAGAAGAGGACATTTGGAAAGAACAATCAAAATGCTGGGCAGTAGAAAACCCCAAAAAACCTAATCAGTACTAAATGGGCTCATCATTAAACAACTGAGTGGGCAGAGCCAGGCATAGAATACTTTGGTTTTGACCGTCTCCTTGTTCACTATGAACTGTAAGTAAACACTGTGACCAGCACCTTTGGGTCTAGATAAATGTTTTTGCTGCTTTGTTTAATAAAGGCCTAAATAAGCACAGCTCCATCTGCATTGCCAGTTGCAGGATGTAGGTGCAGCAACACCTTCCTGCCTGAGCTAGTCTGGGCAGTGACAGAAAGGAAGACACATCATCATCGCTCACTTCAGCCTAGGCCAGTCACAAGAATTCCCAAGATCCCAGATAGACCCCTAACCTTGGTGATCTTCCAGACTTCCACAAACACTTGAGACTGAAGCTGCGTCAGCCACTCTTCTCAACACAAGTTGCTTGTTCCTTCCTCAGGTAAAGGGGTCAATCCATTCTTTCATGAATTAACTGCATTACTTTTCTTAGTCCTGGTTCACTGTCTTGCTGCACAAACACTTGTGCTGGCACAAGGAAGAAGGGTTGGAACATATACCTGTGGCTGGGGAGGTGGTGTGACTCCCTCTTTTGGGAGGGAGCTCCTGGAAGAACTAACACCACCTTCGTTGTTCCTGCTACCTCTTAACACAGTCTTATAATTAGTTTAAACTGGTAGGAGCCAGTCAGAGACCACACTGCTCCCAGTGCCGGGTCCTTGTCAGGGCTGGCTGCTCCCCAGGGACAGGGAGATATATCACAGCAAGCAGAGAAGTTGGCTCACCAGACATCATCCTACTGTCCTAAAATAAGGGAGCAGGGCAGGCTAGGGACAGTAGCCAGGGCCAAACCAGGTCATCAAGCAATCTCATGGCAACAAGGCAGGTCCAAGGTCAGGCTGAGCAGTCAGTCTGCAGGTCAGGGTCAGACACAGGTGGGTCTGTGATGCCAGAGCAGGGCTGAGGTCAAGCAGGAAGTGGTCCAGCCTTGTGACCACCAGCCAGCACCATAGTGACAGGAGAGAGAAAAGATCAGGCTGCGAAGTCAGTCCACAGGTCTGAGGCCAGAACAGTCCACAATGACCCAGATGAACAGGCACAACCTACAGACAGGCACAGGTGTGGCCATGGTAGAAATAGGTACAGCTGAACTTAAATAGAGCCTCTGGGCCCATGGGCAGGGTGTGGGGGAGGCAAATAAAAGCTTATTAGTGCCATCAGGGCCTTGACAGTCCTACTCTTTCCTCTTCCTTGTGTCCTGTTCCTTCCACCCTCCTTAAGCCTTAGCGCTTGTGAGGCTGCATGAGGAATCAGATCAGCAAAGTGCAAAAGCTAACTGTCCTTTGGTAAGGTTATTTCTGGTTGTCTTAGTGAGCTTATTCATCTCCCTACACTGCTGTATGAACACTAGAACTGGGACTGTGGAGGCAGATGGAACATGTGGCTCAGGGCTGAGAATCAATAGATGGTGGCAGATGTGGCAGTGTGGTCCAAATGGGGTCTATGCCACTTGTGAAACTATACTCAGAGTCTTCTGGAATTTCACACTGCAATTACCTCCTAATTTAAGAGCAGGTGTGTTATTGCAAGTGTCACTGCTCACAAACATCATTATAGAATTGATTCTGTAAGTTAATTTAATTTTTTAGTTTATATAGCTCTACTAGATGATTTACATGCAGCTGGACTAGATGGTTGTTGTGGGTCCCTCCCAACTGAAGTATTCTATTCTACAGACACAGCTGTGGGTGTACTTGTATTTGTCTGAAAGTGCTAGAGAACACTCACTGTCTCTAAGAGCATAGTCTGGAGAAGAAACATTAAAATAAAGGAGAACCATTCCCAAGGAAGAAGAAAGGGAAAAGAAAACAATGTATTTTTTTTTTAAATCAGAGCTTGTTTTTTCTTTCCACCCTCCATGTAATAAACCTAGCAATGGAATGCAAATTAACATTCATGGGTTTTTTAAACAATAGCCTTTGTGTTCTGAACCACACTGACAAAGCAGAACAATCCAAGCAAAACATGATCACAAAATCTTTTGCCAGCAATGTGCTAGCCAGTTTTGTTGCAAACATCTAAAGCTGCGAGGGAATCTGTTTTGGAAAGTAATAAAGTAAGCATAGCTTCTTTTTACTCAGCTGAAAATCTGTTTAATTTTTTCTCAAGCTGAATTTCAAACTGTTACATCACTGCAAATTCCATTAAGTCAGTATGGTCCTAGGCTCTAGGCCCAGGAAGCCAGGCTGAACGTATACCAGGAAGGGCAGAACTCAATTTCCAGGATTTTTTAAAAAATGAAGCAAAAATCACCCTGCTCCACTGTCAGAGACCTGAGTACTCACTGTGCTTGCAAATACAGAGAACAGGATGTATCACCAACACCTATTGCCTTTTGGTTTGAAGACGCTGAGAGAGAATACTCATGATATACATGATGCCAGCTTTACTTCCAAGTGGAAACACCAAAAGTTAAAAATACATGTAAAAGCATGCTTTCTTCTGAGAAATCTAAAATTTGAAAAACTAATTCCATGATTGCAGTTATTGCCGGCAGATGTCTGCTCCTGTGGAAGAGAACTTACCTGCTGCTCTGTTAAACTGCTGTGTAGCCTCTGTTTAGACCAAATCACTGTTTCCAATCCAAATGTGTAAAATCTCCCAACCCATCTTTACACATGGGCAGAACCACACTGCCTAAGAGACCTTCCTGGAACTAGTGTTGAAAAGCTTTGCAGGATGGTAGAACATTTGTAGTGAAGGTGTCATGAATGAGTGGTCTGTTGGTATGTTGGCAATATAGTATAGCAAACTTGAGAGTTCACTGGCTCTGAGAGATTGTCCCACTCAGAAAAGAGGACAGAAAAATACTAGTGGGATGTCAGATACATCACAGTCCACTGTGGTCCAGGAGAGCTCAAAGTGTCTCACTTAGGACTATCGTTTATGGGATCTCAGGAGAGTTGGCTTTAGTCATAGTAATTTTCCATCCTGGCTGCAATTAGGGCCAGCAATTTTCTTTGAAAGTTTAATAACAAAAATGTTGTTCCACTCAAGTTGTTATTTTAGCAAGACAAGTTAAGTTTCCAAGGCTGTTCATTAAAAACCAGGAGCTTGTTAGCCAACATAAGTTCCTGGAAGCAGTGTTTCTGGAAAGGTCAAGTCCAGGTGCTGTTCATCAAGGCCGAGGCCTAACAAGCATTTCTGAGATCACAGTGTGGCCCAAGGAGGGGGGGAGGATGCACTGCCACAGAAGGCAAGCTTGAAGATACCCTCCAAGGTGTGTCTGTCTACATCCTCTGAAATGATAACCATCAACAGCTGTCACCACTCTGAAATCCTCTGTGTAAATCACAGAAGATATCCTCTGCATTAACAGTGGAGAATATATGAATACCATAGCCAGCAGTAACAATCATAAGTCAGTGAAGGGAAAAGGATCACCACAAGGACAATTGGTTTCTACGTGTCTTTCTTCTACACAGCATGTGGTTCTCAGCCATCTCTAGGCTGTGGTTACTCACTGTGGGTGAGCAGGTTGGCTGCTGCTGCTGCTGCTGTGTGAGGTTCTCTGCCGCTATAAAATGGATCAATGCAACTGGACAAGTGCACAGGAAGAGCAGGGACAAAACAGCATACTGTGCATTATGCATTTAAAGCACAAAACCACAATAAAGCAAAAGTAGCAATTTTAGAACTCTCATAAGGGATAAGGGGAAAAAAGTCAGAAATTATTAACAGCCCTCATGAGTTCTTGCCTACTTGACAAGGATTCCAGTGGCATTACCTCTTACTTTGAAAAAAGGATTTGATGATTCTGGAATGTTTAGCATCTTGTTAAATATAACATGCTGAGTATATTTGTTTGAAAAGGTCTGTGGTTACCTTAGCTTGTGATCTCTAATCACCTTACTATGATTAAACTGCATAAAATCTGGTATTATCTAAACGTTTATCAACTG